GTTAAAAACTTTCCCAACTTGTTTTTTATTCACCAGGGAAGCTCGTGTCTAACCCACTGAGAGGGCAGTGGAAGCTGTAACATCTGTCTTCATGGGAGGCAAATGGAAGGAAACCTGAAAAAAAGGAAGAGGAAACAAATGAGGCACTGGCTGATTGAAAGTCTGTTATTTCATATTGCCTTTCACAGTTTGACACAGGATGCTTTCTCACTACTAACTACTGGTGTACTTAGTGCTAGAATAACCCAACTGAGACATGGCCACCCCCAACCCAGGTGTGCCGATGGTATTTCCTCCTTTATTCCTCTTTTCCACAGAATCACAGAAAACTGCCACGCAGTCATGGCTTAGCAGATGTGGTCTTGCAGCAGGCTTTGGCTGGGATCCCTGCTTTGACTGCTGCTTGCACTAAACCTCTCTTCTCCCCAGTGGCAGACAGAGGCTTGTACTTGGACAAAGCTCTTGTTATCAACACTGTCCCCAGACACAGACTCTTCTGAGGTGGCACACGGATGGATACAGTGTGCTGAGGGTTTGCAGACTTATCTGATGGGCTGGGGATGCACTGCCTCGTGCTGATTTCCTGCTCCCTCAGCTCACAGTGACAGTGTCCTATGGGCACCACTCATAGAGTGCTTAAAGCCACATGCATCTCCAGCCTCCCCCTGCCAAAATAGAAACCTCATGGCCTAAGCCCACCTTATCAAAGCTGCTAACTTTCTCTTTTGCTTTTTAAACAGACATGATCTCACCAGACGTTGTGTTTAGCTGCAAGAAAATTCCTCCCTCTTACTGTTTTGTTCTTAAGGATTGCTTTTCTCAGCTAAACATCCTTTGCTTTAAATAGATGGGCTGACCCAAATACTATTCTGAGTGATTATTCAAGGATGAAGAACAGACTCTAGTCCAAAGATTTTTCCAAGACAACTTAAATCAATACAATCTTTGTGATTGGTAGTTTCTAGAAAACCTGTAGGCTACATCATCCCTATTACATTCATCATTTGTCTGAGTTTTGCTGTATTTGTTCATGTGGTACATTATGGAGCATCTGAAGCATTTATTCTCTTGTCCTCCAGACTCCACTAATTTCTTTTTGAACAAAATGTAGCTTAGAAATTGTCTGCTGTGGATTTTTGTAATGAATATTTTACAGTAAGCCACTTGTTACTAATAAGCCTAGTTTTACTTGTACAGCTCCTTTTACAATTTTTACTCTTTAAAAAAATAATTTAGAAATTTACAATGGTAGTTGGATTGTTTATTAACTGATGGCCTACTTGCAATATTAAATTGAACACGTCATTGCAATACGGGCTATTTTTCAGCTTTGTATAGGAAAAAAAATAACTGCAAATATGGAAACCAACATTTTCCACAGCACATCTCTGAATACTCTTATTCATTGCAGACTTTCTACTGTAGTAGAGCAATGACTTGAAGAGAAAATATACTGAAAGCCTGAAGTCCAAATCTATTTTAAACTCTAAATGATGCACATGATTAAAAATGTATTACCTATTCCCAACAAATCAACATCATTGAAACACTAATATTTTCCTGATTTTAAGCACCATCTAGTGAGTCAAACATTAGATCTGATCTTCTAAATTACAGACGAGGAGAATAAGAACATGGTTTGACTGTATCCCACATCGTGTTAGGTCTCTTGCTGAGATCCTTAAGTTAACTGTTTAGTCACTGTCTGCTCTCGTACTAATGGACATTAAATATTCCTCCAAAGGTGCTGAGGAGCTGAGCTGCTGCCTGAAGATAATTTATCTATTGACAAAAGGGGTGTCTCGGCTGAGCAGGCTCCCTAGTTAGACAAGGATAACTGCCTAAAAGTGTAGCAGAGAAAAACCTCATTTTGATAATGATAATCTTTGTCACTCTAGAGCAGGGCACTGGAAAGGATGTGGCTTTATTTCAATTATAAGCCAAAGAAAAAAAAAAATCTCCAGAACAAATAAAGAGCTTTATAAGGATCATGATTCTCACTACTTCTATTAGCCAGTTTGCCATGAAGATGAAGTAGGTCTGAGAGGGAATAGCACAACAAATCTACATACAATTATAGGACCTGCTTATCCAGCATTGGTTCATTAAATCAGTACAGTGAAATCAGCGCTGGCCTGTATAAAAGGCAGCCCATGTATGGAATTCATTTGGAAAGCAAGGGGTGCACAACAGGTTTGGTTAACACAGCATCACTCTGGGCACAGGAAGGGACGTTCGGACTGAGCATCGTTTGGCCTGTCTGAAATGACAGAGCTTGCGGTTGGAGCTGTGCTGGCACTTAGCAAGGCCAGGCCACGCATTGACCAACCTTACACCAACTTTGCTGGCACTTGTAGAGGGTGAGGAAAAGGCACATTGCCTGGGAGTGAATCATTTGGTGGGGCAGTTGATACCGGCTGCTGCTGACAATACCCTCAGCTGGCCAAGCCATACATCTGACCTCTTTCTGATACAACTGGATCTAGGGGAAGTAGGATTTAATTATGTGTACTCAGTCCCAGCTACTGTGCAATACCAGCATACACACTCTAGCAGCTCTGGGGAGCTGTTGGCCATGGCTCAAGAGTAGAAGACCAGCCTGGTTTCTGTGCATCAGACAGGAGTCCTGTGACAAGGGTCTCTCCCCATGGTGGGTCCCCAGCCAGCTGCCCAGACAGTGGGGCACCTCTGCTGCATTGCGGGCTGGGGCACTTCATCTGCCTGGGAGGTCACACAGTGAGGGAGGCTGAGGGCCTGACCTGGGCCACAGAGACCTCTCTGCTGTTCTATTTTTGGATTTTCCTCATTCCTCTTTGTGCATCACTTCCTGGCTGTGTCACCTCCCTACTCCCCACCTCAGAGCAGTCGTGGCAGCACAGGTTGAAGGGCTGATAGAGGATAAAGGCTGTTGGTGACGAGGAGGTGATGCCAGGAGGGGTGTATGCCAGAACTGCTGCAGACACACTCCTCAAACTCAGCCCTGCTCTGCAGGTGCAGCCCCCTTGCTCCCCTGTCTCGCCTCCAGGCTCCCAGGGAAACTGCGATGGCACAGCACCTGCCTGCTGCTTGAAAACAGCAGAGGTTCATCTGCACCTCGTGTTATTGAAATCTGGTACCTTATGAGGTTAAACTGGGGAAAGCAGTAGCTCTAGCAGTGGGAGCATTTAAGGCCTGGCCCCTCATCAGAGGACATATGACTGCTCAGGGGTGACACGGGTACCTGGTCTCTGGTCTCCACCTCCAACACAGGAAAGCATCAGACATAAGCTTGTTTGCACAGCTTTGCTAACATCTGAAATATCTTAGCGTTGTCCCTACTTGGACATAGGCAAAACCGCTGGGAATAAGAAACCTGCATCCCTTTTCTCCTTCATCACTACTGCCCGTACATGTAATTTTGCTAGTAAAGGGGAAGATCTTTTAGCAAAATCCTTATTTATGATCTATAATGTCATGACAGAAAGTGGATTCAAGCAGGAAATCAGTGTTCAGAGCTATACAGCAATAAAAAACAATGTTTTTGGAGTCCTTCCCCATAAACAGAGCAGAGCATGTGCAGGTATCAGTCTGCTTAGCAAGACAGTTCAAGCTCACTAGAACAGTCATACAGCATGCATGATCCACATTAGGATCTAGTCAGCTCTCAAACACCCCTTCATTACAGGGGTAAGGCAGAATTTCATGACACCACAAAAAGAAACATAAGCAAATACAGTAAAAAGGCTTTACCTTCAGCTTGAGCAAAAGGCAGTATTTTTCAGTCCTGTGGGATCCTCTTTTGTCCCCAAGTCTGCTGGCTCACGATGCAGAGAACTGATCTGGCATTTATAAACCCTGGCAAGGTATTGCAAGTCCTGAGGGTGTTTGATTTGGAAAGAAAGGTGTCTGGAGGAGATTCCTGAACATCTGCACCCAGAGTTATGCAGGGGAAAAAAAGAAAAAATAAAAGCAAGCTTTAAGATGTCAGAATGTGTAGCCTGCCCAGAGCTACTATTCCCGGAAGAAATTAGACCCTAAAGTGCCCAGGTGAAAATCAGGGATAATCCCTGTGTAAGTATTTCTAATTGGGACAAACTGAAAGTGAGAAAGCTGAGCGAGACAGCGCCAGCCCATCCCTGGGGGCTCCGGGTTTGTTCCCAGCTGTTAACTGAGAGCACAATTATGCAAAGCCTCCTCTATAAACAGATTTTGGTTTATTATGGCTGAACTGGGGCAATCTATTTTTGTCACCACTTTGTGCAAATGTGTTACCCTTGTGATTTCCAGCCAGGTCATTCCAAGTCAGCTGCTTTGGCTGTGGCTGTCAGTGGAAGCTCCCTCGTCCGCCCGCCTGGACCCGCCCGGGGTTGGCCCCTGGGCAAGGGGACGAGGGGATGAGCCTGTGGTTATTCTGGTAGCTGTGAGTTATGGAGGTGTCACGTGAAGCAGAGAGCCCAGAAATGCATGTTAAATCGAACCAGTGACTAATCACGGTATTTTGGTTGTCTTATTGCCTGCCGGAGAGAGATTTACGGGCTCAGAAAATGCTGTCGTAATAATCCCGGGGCACTGATTTGATCTTCAGCTGAGGCTTCCCAAGACACTGTGAAAAGAGAACGAAAAAGGGGCTCCTGTCCCAGGGGTGGCAAGGTCTAAACTGGTCGGAGTTTGAAACACAAACAAGAGGAGAAAAGCAAGAACCTCCCTTCTCATCTGTGTCTGCTCAGAGCCACACGCTGGCAGCCAGAGAGGATCAATTTGATCTGCCTGTGGAGCAAGAAGGGTCGGGGGCCACGGCTGAGCAAACACGAAGGGCCATTTATTGGGATTGTCATCTAGCTCCCTCATCTGTTACTTGATGGTCAGCCAAGCAAATGCTCAGCAGAACTGCGGACTCTTCATCCTTGCACAAGTTGTGGAGACGAGAACAGTAAGCATCCTACAGCTGTTATGACATTCAGCTGTTTTTTCTATAAAGGAATGCATTGAATTCACTACAAATCTACTAACTGTCCTCCTATGCCAGGAAAGAGACTGAAGTTTTTTGGTTTTTTTTTTTGGTTGGCCTTTTCTCTAACAGCTGGAGGTCTGCTGGGCATTCAAGGAATGGCTGCTGAGTAAGGCAGCTGTTTCAATAACTAATTGCATTTTAGCTCTTATAACTCTAGGGGAAAGCATTGCATTATCTACCATGAGCTACTTCCTGTCCTACTGCAAAGCACACTGCACCGCCGTGCTTGCCCAGTACCAGAGCCTGAGATCAGAGGGCTTTCTGTGTGATATTTTGCTGAAAGTGAAAGAAAACGAGTTCCCTGCACACAAGTCCTTGTTGGCATGCTCCAGCGACTACTTCCGAGCCATGTTCAAAAGCTATACCCAAGAGTCTAAAGCCAGTGTCATTCATCTGCAAGTTGTCTCACCTACTGGTCTCCAGCACATCCTGGATTTCATTTACACATCCTTGCTGCCTCTTTCCTTTGAAACCCTGGAGGACACTTTGGAAGCTGCAAGCTACTTGCAAGTGACGGATGCTATCAGTTTGTGCAATCAGTACTTAATTAACAATCTTGCCTTAGAGAACTGCTGCTTCTCTGCCAATGTGGCCAGGAAGTTCTACCTGCCAGATGCCTTAGCAGCAACAGAAAAGTACATTATCAATAACGTGTGGAAGCTGCTGGACCTGGATTTGTCAGGACTTCTTGAGCTGAACTTCAAGTCTTTACTAGCAGTGATTCAATCACCAGATCTCCCCATGGTGAAAGAAAGCCACCTGTTGAATCTTGTGCTGCTGTGGCTGAAGCAGGATAAATCCAGGCTGGATCATGCAAGCAGCCTTTTAGAGCACATAAGATATGGTCTCATCCCAGTGGAAGAGCTGAGAAAAACCTACACGCAGTCAGAAGTGTCCCTCTCAGCAGGTATTAAGTGCTTGATCATTAAAGCAATAAATTATCACACATCTGTATTCAAACAGCCTGTCCTGCAGGATAAGTCCACCGCACTGAGGAACCAGAAAACTCGGATCATTCTGCTGGGGGGAGGGACGGCAAGTGAGGGGCTCGTCACCGACGTGGTGGCCTTCGATGTTTACAATCACAAGTGGCGAACCCTCACACAACTGCAGGACAGGGTGCAGAACCACAGTGTGTGTGTGGTGGGGAACTTCCTCTATGTCTTGGGTGGGGAAATAGAAAGTGGTTCCCTGGGTGATGCTAAAACTGAAAAGATCTTATCGGTTACGAACAAAGTCCATCGTTATGATCCGAGATTTAACACGTGGACCCAAATCACAGGCATGCTGGAAAAGAGGTGCCAGTTTTCTTGTTGTGTCCTAGGCAAGAATATCTTTGCCATTGGTGGAAGGGGTGAGGACGGGTCTCTGCATTCGTCTGTGGAAGTCTATGATATCAGCAGGGACAGATGGACGAAGGCCAGGGAATTGCCATGCAAGATACATGGCCATGCCAGTGCTGTTTGCAAGAACACTATATACATCTCTGGGGGCAAGTACTCAGCCCCAGCCAGTACGAGCAATGATGTATATTCTCTGAGCTCACTTGAAGGGCAGTGGATTAAAAGAGCCCCAATGAGCATTGCTCGGTTTGGGCATCAGATGGCAACAATCAGGGAATCCATATTCACCTTCTTAGGATTATATGAACCATTCTCTGAAATAGAAAGGTATGACCCTGACCAAAACAAATGGACCCGGTTAAGACCACTGGTCTATGATCGATTTTCCTATGGCCTGGCAGTGGTAGAGGAAACGGCTCTTCTTATTGGGGGAAAGAAATGGCAAAACTCGCTGGAAGTCTCCACGCAAGACGTGGTTGGCTATGACATTGACAACGATGGCTGGGAGGAGATCTGCAAAGCCCCTCTGCCTTGGTGTGGGCTGCAGTGTGCTGTGCTCCAGCTCTCCGAGATGGCTGATGAGCAGGACAGTGACAGCCAGCACAAGAAGCTGCCCAACTGCTGAGCTCACACACTGAGGAACATCTATCCCGAGAGATGAGTAAGTGGGGCGGTCCTGGAGAAGAAAACTGCAGTGGCACCGAATAGGAGAAAGTGGAAGTTTTGCTTGGATAAGCCAAATGCTCGGTGGAAACACGCAAGAAAACCTGGCTCCAGCACAGAAAAAACACTGCTAGGATTTATAGAGCCAGAGGCTGATCTCACTGAACAAGGATGTGCTACATCCTTGCAGCATATTTAGAGGAGATCAGTGAGAATCATAATCCTTGACTTTTGAAGAGTAATACCTAGATAGAATTTAGTAGGTGTTGCAAGTCATATTTTTAAAATATTAAAAAATATAATCCAACTTTTCTGTTTTCTTAATCAGAGGTAATTTTCCCAGCTGGTAAGTGCTACTGAGTTTTTATGCTATGGCTAAGCAAAATGAAAGTAAGCTGTATAAAGACTAGAAAATTGATGCCTAGAAGAATTAATAGCCAAAGAAAAGGTATTATTTGATATGCTACATACTAGGCAAGAATGTCTTACCTAACCAGCAGGAAATCAGTAGACAGCATGGATTTTTTGCTATGTGGACTCAGTTACAGCCATAAGTGTTTGCTTGATATAAGCCATTTCTCTCTCAGTGGCCTTTGTTGTAGGATGCTTTCCGGATGCTTATTTTGTGTCATTTTAAAGAAGGACTCTACTGGTACCGTACATTTTGTTTGCATCCAAACCCTATGTTAGTTTAGATGGCCAGGGCTCAATAAGTATACTTATTATCAAACTCTAAGAAGTAACTGTAACTAATGCCTTGACATTTTACCCGGGTAGCATACAGTGTTTTATCACACCTGCTCATAATGGTAAAATTGTTCATTGCTGTGGAACTGGTACGAGAGAATCCTGCAGTCAAAAAAGGTTTACTTTCATCAAACAGTACAAAGGGCAGGGAGGTAACCAAAGGTTTTCAGAAGTCTTTATTCGGTGTCTGCCTACATATGAATCAGCAATAGTCGTTTTTGGCCATGCTGGCAGAATTCAAACTCGTTTTACAGAGGTACAAAAAGGTACATGGAGCTGTGAAATGCTGGTAAAATGGTCAGATGCCACAGAATAACTCTGGCATGGAGTAAATTGAATATTGAGTCATAAATGTTCATTTAAAAGCTAAATTTATTGTACTTCATTTTACAGTGTTCCCTTTCTAGGCTGAGAGTTAATACAATAAAAATATATATATAGAAGAACATTTAATACTCTTAAAAGAAGGCAGCACAATGGAGAGGACACATGTTCTTTGTCACTAGACTAGCTTAGAAAACTGTAATGTTTAATTTTCACCTTTAAAGCAATCAAGCTAACTTTACTAATGTAAAGTGCAGGCAGAATGGCTGTTGCATAGCAACAGATCTAAGTCTTCTGAACTGCCTTGGTTTTGACAAGGAATCAACTACACAATGTGCATATACATCCATCAGATATAAAGAGTTTTTCATATGAATATATTTACTTTTGGTCCAGTAAAACAATAGCAAGAGGATCTAAATGCTTGGAACAATAGCACAATCCATTTCAAGTCAAGCATTTTTTAAGAGAAATTTACAAAAACCTCACAAATTTAATATACAAGTCAGTACCCATGCAGTAAATAAATGTCCAGTTTATACAAACAATATTCTTCTAATAGTACAAATCTTACACTGGGTCCAGAATTCTATACAAACGTTAATACATGATTTGTCAGCCATATCGACTTGAATATAGGATTACTGAAAATGGGCTACAGAAAGGCCACTCTTCTGTACAGTTGTGCAAAATCTGCAGAACATTTGCAATCCAAATGCAATAACAAGATAGGAAAAGAGAAAGGAGGAGAAAGAGGAAAAGAAAGAAAAAGAGAAAAGGGGAGAAAGAGAGAAAAAGAAGAGAGAAAGAGAGGAATAAAATAAATAAAGAAAGAAGGAGAGAGAAGACAAATCTGTCCATTCTTTGCTTCATCCCTTCATGGATATAACTGCCAGGAAATATCAGAGCTCATAAAGTTTAAAGTACATTCACTGAGCTGTACAGGCAATAGTCTAAAGTTGGTTAAGAGTACAACTCGCTGTAAAAAGTATAAAGGAGGCTTTTCCTTTTCACATGAGCATTATTAGATCATGTCATGAGTCCTAGCTTATGCAGCAAAATACTGAAGAGCAGCAGAAATATTTTGTCATGCTCTGATGACTTTTCAAAAACAAGCCCATAAAAAGTAAATATGTGACTTAAGAGTTCCCTCCTACTTTTATTCCAGGCATATGCCTAAAGTTAAGGAGCTATTTCCACTCATATTCACTGGGTTGTCTCCAGCAGATCTCAAATCTCATGGAAGTTTAAAACATTTTAATTGGCTTGTGAACTCAGCAGAACCCAGAGACATCCCTTCCCCTTCAAAAGCAAACCAGAGACTTTTTTACTCCTCAGTTATTTTTCAGGTTCTGTGCTCAGCTCTTCTCTCATCATACATCTTCCCTGCATACAATACAGCCAAATTTCGCAGCTCAGAAAACACAAGAGACTACTTGAAAAATCCTATTCACTTCTTTTCTATTGTGGGAATCTTCAAAGCATCTCAGATTTGGAGCGTTTCATTGGGAACCTTTACCACTGTTGCTTTTCTGGGCAAAAGAAACACTGCTACCAAGGATGTTCAAAGTCTACATTTTCCCTTTTGCAAAATCTGCACATTATACTGATACCTTCAGTGCAAAAGCATCATCAATCACAGTACCATGACTGATTTTTTTTTTAAATCAAACTAATGTCATTAAGAGACAACACAATTTTGTCTTAATTATAATACAAACCAGCATCCCTTTGCACTGATGGTAAACCTTAGCAACAAGCTTCAAAAAAGCACAAGGAAATAAGACCTAACCTTTTGATACTTAAATTCACATTAGTCCTTTTCTGTCTGCTGATTTTCACCCTTTTGTGTGCTTGACAAAACTGAAACATATACACTGCGTTACACTTTTTCCCTGTTATTTAAGAAAACTCCTAGAGTTTCTCATTAAATATAAAAATTGGTTTTCTCCCATCACCAAAATAGTACCTGCACTCCAAAAATGCAATGCAATACTGGAACTATATAATATAAAATATCATTGTAAAATGACCAATAACAAAAGCGTTAGCGTGTGGAACTTCCTGCATGAAGGCCACAGTCTTCCAAAAATGCTTTTAAATCCTTTTCTTTAATAGCTAAAGATCATGTTTGTTAATTCACAGAAAGTAAACACAAGCAGAGCATTGGTAGCATATAAAATATACAAATCTTCATTAAAGAAGTGGTATTGTTGACCACTGAAGGTTTACTTCACACAGCTGAGTAACAATAAAATATAATTTACTAGAGCTCTCACATAATGGATATAAAAACTACTTTATGCACTTCAGTAAAGGGCTGGAGTGTAGCAAATGGACAAAAGGAGAGACCTTTATACATGGGTTTCTATGTAAGAGTGAGTGTGCGCTAAGGAGGCTATAAGGGCATCAACCTCAGGCGAGCCATTAACAGAGTCCCTCGGGGTGCTGCTTTGATAGATGTCCATGAAGAGATCAAGGTACATTTGTTTCCATTCTTGAAAGTCTCTAGATGTCAAAGCTGGATTATCCAGAACTTTGTCTATAATGGCTACTTCTCCTTCCCTGGCCTGTGAGAGAAAAGGAAAACGTAAAGAGTCAATGCAAGAGATGAGTCACTCGAAATATCAATCACATGGGGGGAAGGAGAGATTGGGGGTGCAAACTCAAGCCACAGAGCCCCTAAAAGCACAAAGACTATGAGCTATATAACTGCTCACAAACAGGGGCCCTTTCTACAGGGTGTCACACTGTGAGGACAGGGCTTCCCTTGTCTTTTCCAGCACCCTCAGAAACAGTCCCTATTCCCCCTCCTCACCCCTTGTCCAGCCCAAGAAAAAGCAAGCAAGTTGTACTGTTTACTATTAGCTGCTTGCATTTCTCAAGATGGGTTTCACACAACAAAGTGCCATCTGTTTGCTCTTGATCAGCATCAGAAATAGTGTGGGATGCAAACACATGGCCCCCCGCCTGCCAGCACATCCAAGCCTTTCTATCAGGCTTCTCATGGGGGCATCTGAGAGCTACAGTGCAAAAGGTTGTGCAAGGAATCCCGTGTTAATGACAACTCATCTCCATTAAAGATCTAGTGTATGTGATGGTGTGGCTGACTGAAACTGCCTCCTACCACTGCAGAGGCAAAGAGAAGGCAGAAGAAGGTAAAATATAACACAGCTTTTGGTACCTCCTTATGAATCATTGAGGCAGGGGATGTGACTGTATCACTCCCTGGTGATTACAGAGAGTTGACAGGCAGCTGGTATGGATCAGAGTAAGCCTCAGAAATACCCATGGCCATTTCCAGTTGTTGCAAGTGGTGGAAGATGGATCTCACAGACATAAGCCTTGGAAGCACAGCTAACACACAGGTTTCCAGCAGTACTCCTCTGTGCAGGACTGGTATGGTCACCGGCAATCTCCCCTCTAACCTCCCTGCCACCCAGGTTTCACACTCCTCATTTCTAACTCGTATCTTCCATGCCCATACTATGAGTATGTTAAATCTTTATGGAGAGCACAGTAATGGGAAATATTAAGCCCACATTGATGGGACAGATCAGAAGTAGTGTGTGGAAAAGTATTTTTCATGCTTTGCTAGTAGCAGCTAGAGTACTCATTTTCAGAAATGGAGGAGTAAGCTGACAATGACCAATGGAAATGAAACCATGAGAAGTCCTGATTACCATATCTCTGCTTGAACTACCATAACCTGCTTCTCACAGGTTGTTACTGGTCCCACACCCCTGCACTACCATCCAGATAGCTCATACTCAATGGCAGGAGAATGGTTTTGTGTTATCACAGGGAGGAGAGCAGAGGAGCCTTTCATTAAGGGCTTAGAAAACGGGACAAAGCTAGAAGCAGTTTGGAGGGCTGTCTAAGGCAACCTTTATGCCTTAATACAATTCAAGGAAAGTTTAGAACAGGCCACTGCAATTGGCTGCATTCAGGAAGGAGAAATCAAAGGCACTGATAAAAAGAAAGAATAACTGAATAGGTAACAGCAGGAGCTACTGGTAGATATGACTACCAGCAGTATGGCAGAGGTGGAGCTCTGGGCTACAATGGAGCTAGAAACTCATCATGAGTTACCATAATGTCATTGCAGAACAAGAATGTGCCACTCTACACTGCTGTTCTACACAAGAAAGAGTCTGTCTTTGGTCCTTGTTGCCATTGTGTTTTCAATTATTGGTGTCATGTACTTCAAATGATTTCTGCAAATCATGGTCTAAACAAGAATGGCAACAGGTTTAGAAAATATGGCTCATGTACAGAGAATGAACAAATTCTGTTTGCTTGATCCAAAAGAAAGAAGTTCCAGAGAAGCACAAAACCAGGCATCCACCAGGTCAAGAGGCTTTGCTGGTTTTGGACTTCCATCAAGGAAAGCAGTTTCATTTGCAGGAAGCCATCGGTGTCATGTATCTCAGGTACCAATAAATACCAACAAGACAGACAATTCAGCATGGCAGCAAGCTGCTGATGCTGAACCACAGCTTCTGGATGAGTGAGCCTGCCATGGTGCAAAAGCACAGCTACAGCGTGAACCTCCTGCCACTCCCATGTGCCTGAGAGAACTGTGATTTTGTTTCAGTTTCTCAGGCTTGTAGAAGTCATGTGAAAAACCTCTGCATCTTGACTTTTTCTGACAGCCTCCAATCCTGCAAAGACTCACATAGGCAGATAAATAGTGCAAGGTGCCTTCACTGAGATGATTTTCCCTACATACAATATAGTACAGAAAGTTAAGCATGAGTAAGATTATTTTCAGAACGGGGGCCCCACAGCATGAAAATAATATTGCTTAAATGCTTCTCTAGGTGATGGAAAACTAAATTAATTAATGTTGATAAAGCCCTCTTTGATGAAAGCTGTTACAAAATGCACTGTACAATTATCTGGTGACTTAAAATGTGGTAATTTAATATAGTTA